GAGAACCAGAGCCTTGGTGGTGGTTGGCACAGGTTGTTGGAGTGGAGATCGCTCGGCAACACGGAGAAACAGCCTCATGGAGGCATTTCTGTGCTTTGATAATAGCAGCTCAAGTGTACTGCAAATGAAATTACTTGTAAGGATACTGCAGCGGCTCTTTACATAGAGATTCCATGTTTTTAGGGGGTTCGAAACAATGGTGTTAAATGAACCCTTAGGTGTGCCTCACCGGTGTAGCTGATGCGTGCTGGTAATGCTTATTGTAAGTCTGAAACTCATTAGTAGTGCTAATTTAGTGCTAATCGTTACTCTGTACTTATCTCAGATTTTGCTGAAACAAATTATAAAACCTTATATGTGTCCTTAGTGTCTTGAAAATGGAATCCAAGAGCTCATGACCTGGGAGCGCGGTTTTTACATTAAATCCATAGGGATCCTTTACAGTAGCCAGTAAAATAACCGTTTGCTTAGTCATCACTGCTTCTCATTTTTTTTTATGTAGACATTTCTTCATTACCTATTTCAAATCCGTTTCCTCAACCTCATGGCGATTGCTCCCTTTATAACCTGTCAGCAGTTTATGGAAATTAATACAAAATGCCAGTGGAAAAATGGAATCTGTTCCAATCCAATACACATATAAGAACAAACAAGTGGTTAAATATTTTTTCCAGACTAGCTCTGGGAAAAGTTCAGGTTAGGTTACGTTTTTTTCAATAGACCCAGTGCTGCATGCTTACCCAGTTTGAGTATCTGGTATACTGGTATATGTTCTGCAAACCATATCAGCCACGTTTCTCACTAAGAGTTTCTCTGTCCCTTTTTCAGTGCCAAAGATTGCCTCAAAGCCATCATGAAGAGAGTGAATCATAAAGTTCCCCATGTGGCTTTGCAAGCACTTACAGTGAGTAGACTTACAATTTTCAAAAAACTTTGTCTTCTGTAACGTAATGCAGCCATTAAATGTGTGCTGATCAATTAATACCTTTATATATAATCTTCAGTAGAAGTCAGTGAGAGTGTGTGTGCTGGGTAGAGGATTGCATTTAACTCTATGTATGCTTTTATTTTGGATTATTTTCATTGCTGCCATACATTGTCACAATCGTATTTCTCTTGTCAGCTTTTAGGAGCCTGTGTATCGAACTGTGGAAAAGTATTTCACTTAGAAGTATGTTCTCGCGATTTTGCTAGTGAAGCTCGAGGTATAATAAATAAGGTAATATTTTTATAACCTTATGTACTGAAGGAGAATTATTTTGGTGACTTTTTTGCTTTGTCTCAGCATAACAAAGAATTGGCAAAACTAATATTCTAGTTAGTATGTGTTTTGTAGTTTTGATGCAGTTGCAGTTACTGCTGAAGGTTTGTGTTATCACTGAAATGCGTGTACTTTAATTTTTACTATGAAAATGTAATGTATTAAAGAAGTGGCAGGCTGGTAATATCTACTCCAAATTTTAACAAAATTACTTGAGCAATTTTAATTAAAATCTGTGACGTCTCCTAAGTTCAGTTGATTCAATAATGGTGAAGGCAGCTTTTCTCAAAGATAGTTTTTATTTGGTTTGAATGAAATTCGTAGGCTGAAGTGCAAAGGGAAACTGTGAGAAAGTTAAACTGTATTTTTCAAGGAGAAGGATGAAGTCTTCAGACAACTTTTGAGTTTCTAGAGATTCTCAGAATGCTGAATGTGGAGGTAACCAGGAAAGGAAGATCTAAATGGTTAGGTCAAGCAGCTGATGGGATCTAAATGTGGATGTAATGAATTGAATAAGCAGAAACAGCTTTCCCCTAATTACTGTTCCAGTTGAAGACAAAAATGGCTAATGGGTTAAAAAGAAGTTAGTCTTCAAATATATGGGAGGCCTGGAATCATTAGAGGTGGAGCAAAGCAATTAAGGAAACTAATAAAATTGCTGGGAAGCAAAATGAGTTCACAGCTCTTCTGTTTCTCACTTTGTATGGAAAAATAGGTCTTAAAGTCCTCCCCTTTGTTCTCATTAGCCATGGTCCATTCTGAAATAGAACATTGACCTTCATGGTCTGACAGCACTTGTGGGCGTAAAAGCAAATCTTTAATCCCACTGAAGAGTGGTCTACTGGAGCATAATGTATTTCATTGTTGAGAAATACTTACGTTTTACCCCTCTGGCCCACTTGGAGGAATACTCTTCAGAGATCAGATAGAATTGCATTTTCTCTCTTTTCTCCAAAAGAAAATTAGTTCAGTTGCAAAATCGCAAGTGCAACAAACGTTTTTGCTGATACAGAGCCTCTAAAGCTACATCTCTTCTTTCAATTTTTGTTTCTTTTTAAGGCTGTTGCATGATTACAGGGTTAACAGCAGCTGATGTTTAATGTGACTGAGGTGTATTCTGAAGGGTGTTCTTTTGCCATGCAGTAGAGTAATACATGACTCTGACCTGCTTTTCTGAAGGTGGATTATCACTTCGGCTGAGGTCATTAGCACATAAAATTTGCAGTGTTGAATGAAATCAGTGGTCCTATGTGGACTTAGAGTAGCTGTAAATCCTATGGACGAGGGTGAAGGAAGGGGAGCTATAGAGGGTCTTTTGTGCGAGGAGCTAGAGAAGAACATGGGAGCCAGAGAAATTGCAGGCAGAGCATGAAGTTGATCTTGGTTTGCCCCCACTGCAAGCACCTTCCTTTACCAGACTCCGTCCCTTCCCTCAGTTCCTAATTCAGAAGCTGATAGTATAACCTGTCCCGTGAGCTGGGTGGCACTGTGCGTAATGCATAATTCCCTTTTGTGAGAGACCTGAGTCGAGGAGACGTGCATACCTATGCATTCAGAGATGGTACCAAGATCATTTTTTTGTGACGTCCTATCACCTGAGAAGTCATCAGGGAGAAATGTGTTCTGGCATCTGAGGAGAAGACAGCAGAGGTCATAAGGTAGGGAAGGGGTATTGTCTTGTAAGGAAAGACAGTATCTTGTGTTAGACCAACTGACGTGGTCGGGAGGGGAATAACAATGTGTATTAGAAGTAATGAAGGGAAAATTGAGGTAAAATGGAGGGTAACTAACATAGGGATGCAGAAAAGTTGGGGTAAGTGTGGTAGATAGCCTGAATCTCTCCAAAACTATTGAGATGGAAACATAACTAACGCTTGAAAAGTCAAAAGGTTTGTCGATCTCGTTCCTTAACCACCGAAAATGGACTGCACTACAATAACAGCAGTATAGGTAGGTGAGCTGCCTGCAACATCTAAGCTTTGGCTGTGCAACAGAATTTGCCTCGGAGGATTGCTGTAAGAATTGAAGGAGCCCTGATTTAAAATAGTGAGTTGCTTGGTAGGATCGGGGAGATCTGAACTACCTGTAGTCTGCTGCTGCATGGGGATAATGCTGTTGGAAAAGGCTATGCCAGCTTTCCAAGGAAGGGATGATGCTGCAGAAACTAAGTGTATTACCTGTAATATCAGAATCAGTGTGTAAAAGACCATATATTCTAGGCTCTGTTTTCCAAATTTTCTTAATCAAGACAATTAGAAATCATTAAGGATATTTATAGTAAAATGGTTTCAGTATCAAAGTTTTCCTGAGAGGGAATAACTCTTTCTGTTCATTCTGAGGTACAAGCGTCCTTTTCTATGCGGTTTTGTCTTCTAGGCACATCCAAAAGTATGTGAAAAGCTAAAAACTCTAATGGTGGAGTGGTCGGAAGAATTTCAGAAAGACCCGCAGTGTAGCTTAATATCTGCAACTATTAAATCTTTAAAAGAAGAAGGTGTAACTTTTCCTGCAGCTGGATCGCAGGTAAGAGCTGACTTTTGGGACACATGGTGCTGTTAGGTTCAGTGTTCCTGGCAGTGAACAGATGAAAAGCTGTCCAAGTGACATCTTCTGTGCTTTTGATCAGAGGAGAGTTGGATCCTTTTTCTAGTTTGGTTGCCACCTTCTGCTGAGGTTCACTGCTGTTCATTCTGCTTTTTTATGTCCTTGCCTTCCTGAAGAAAATAAGAACAGACTAAAGGCTACTTCATGGTGCCCTTAGGAGGTGTTTCATTTTAGATCCTTCTTTTCTTCCAGTCGTTTTTAGAGCTTCATTGAGCTGTCACCACCTTAAATCGAAGCAACTCTACGCCCACACTTTGTACTGGGTGTTTCATGGTTGTAATTGCTGACTTGGAGCACGCACCTTCGTTTTCTTCGCAGAGCCTCACAAAACAAAGGGCCATATCTGGAATGAAGACGTTTTGAAGATGATCTGTGCTATGTTTTCCTTTTCCAAGTGCTCATTTCTTGTTCATGCAGTTACCTGTCCATGTCAGGAATCGTCCTGGCTCTGCAGTAGGTGGGGTGATCCAGTCCCTAACCTCACCCTTTATGTTTTACTCGTGGTGGTGTGTTATGTGTAATCTTTTAGCTGGCAGATATAATGACAGGTGGCTTTTTTCTATGCTTTATTATTGATGCTTCTAAATATTTTCATGTTAATTGTGAGTCAGGTGAAGATCAGTCCTGAAAATTAGAACTACAGCTTCTATTACATATTCCTTACATGGAGTTTTCTTTTCTCTGTGTTAAACACAGAGGGTTTTTTTTTTTTTTACTTTTACAATCTTTCCTTCCTCCACAAAGATGTTTTCACTTCTAAATCTGAGATATGTGTTAAAACATATGGCAGAAACATGGAAGATCTAGAGTACTGGCAACCAGTTATGCTTCCTTTCCTACAAATACATATAAAATGACATCTTGATGTTTTTACCTCATGCGCTTCACTTCAAACAAGCAAAGCTGAGGTTTATTTGGGTTTAGTACACTTGTGCAGAATTGTTTTCTAGGACCATTAGTAAGTCCTAGGCACGAATAGTGTCTGAAACCAGGTTCTTTGTTCCTGATCTGTGCAGGAAGGCTTCCTTGTTGGAATCCAAACTGTAAGAATGATTTCACTGTGCTATTGTGGAGACTTGTATTATTTAAGCCAGCAGCTCCTAACTTGATATACGTTTGCTCTTCCTTCCCAGTGTCCCACCAGCAGAGACAGAGGGTGGTGCTCTGCTACGGAGACACATCTTCCTTTTCAGCAAGACCAGCTGCTGCTTAATAACTTTGGTCTTTGCAGACATAGGACTCCAAGGAGCTTTTCTTCTCTTTTGAAGGGAGGGATGGAGGACAAAGGTGGAAAGAGCAGTCATTTAAACGAGTAGTCTCACTTTAATAAATGAGCCTAAAATAGTTATTTAAATGAGATCAGTTATTTAAATCAGATCAGATTATTTATTTTACTTGGTTCCCTGCTGAAAACAAAATAAAACCTGGCTGAGATTCTGAAGAGTGGTAATTTTTTCTTCCAGGTGGTCATCTTGATTCAGTAATGAAATGCTACAGTAAGGCAGCTAACCAGGAGCAACTCATTACTAATTTTTTTAAAAGTATACAATTACAGAGCTTCCTTTTTCCTTTGTAACCTGAACTTACTATATTGTTAATACATTTTCAGCCTACCACAAATGCTGCTAAGAATGGTTCATCATTAAGTAAGAACAAAGAAGATGAAGATATAGCTAAAGGTAAATTGCTACTCACAGCCTTGGCTTAGACTTGTGCCCTAGAAGTTTTGTTAAAATGCACAGAAGTAGGAAGTTGTACTCTCTTCTGCTGCACAGAATTGAAAACGAGGGCACAACAGGTTGGTAACTACTACACTATATCATTCAAAACGGTGTGAAGGTGTTTACCTGGTGGATGAGAATTGGGGTAAGATCTATTCATCCCCATCACGTAGCCGTTAGCATTGTTTTGTCACTGCTTTCTCTCCACAGAGCTTTGTCTCTTCCCTTCTGCACCCACGTGTTTTATTTTAGCCTCCATCTTGATGCTTTAAACAAATCAGAACATTTAGATGTTTTATTCTTTCTCTTTCTTGGACATAGTTACTGTTGTTCAGACATCATAGTGAAGAACTTGTCGGTGTTTCTGATCGTGCTAATGATGCTGCTGACATCAGTAGCATGTGTGCTGCTTCAGTTAGTGGGCTGTACCATGAAATGCAGAGGGTTTTTAAACTTTTTCAGAACTTGTGCATGATTATGTCCTGTCTTTTAATCCTGTTGCAGGGCAGAGTAAAGCTGTTGAAATGTGAAATACAGCTAGTAGTTCGAAGCAAAGATTTTAAACTTAAAATGTTAGAGAAGCAGATACTGATCATGTTTATAACAATAAATAATTTTCTATTTATTTTTACTTGGAAAGCAAACTACCTTTGTGTACAGGGATAAAATGTACAAACTTCCTTTTTTTTTCCCCCCCCTCTCCTCATTGTAGCTATCGAATTGTCTTTGCAAGAGCAGAAACAGCAACAAATGGAAACTAAATCCTTGTACCCGTCTGCAGAAATTCAGCAAAACAATCAGAACTCGAGGAAGGTGCGAGCTCTGTATGACTTTGAAGCCGTCGAGGACAATGAGCTCACCTTTAAAAGTGGAGAAATTATTTTTGTTTTGGATGACAGGTATAATATACTCCGATGAAGGTGTCTTTATTCTAGAACTGGTGTTTTCTTACGATAGCAAGTTTTTCCTCTGATGTTTTTTTCCCCACAGAAATGTATATTGTCACTTTGGCCTCCTTCAAATCCCTTTGTCTTCCACTATTCTTTCCATACCCCAAGTGTTTGACCTCAAGACATTTTTGGTGCAGAGGCAACCTCGCCGTGTTACATTGAATATTTCATTCTGTGGTGTAGGTCCAATTTGTTTGTGTTTTTTCACGTGAATGGTTGTAACATATGTCATCAGAATATACATACACATTACAGTGCTAAATTCCAGCTGCTTCCAGAAATTGTTAAATCTCTGGCTATCAAGCATCACATTTGCTAAGAATAAAACCAAAGAAAAAAAAAATACTTAAGATAATTATTGTTATCATCACCATTGCCCCAACAATAGTTAAGCAGCAGAACTTGCCTGCTAATGCTGTTCTAATTTAATAGACTGTGACAGATCAATTATATTTCTAATGTTAGTCCCCACTTGTGTACTTCTTGTAAACTTTCAGATGAAGCTATAATGGGCTATCATCTAATCAACCTGAAAATTTGAAGAGTTGTGTTAAATTTTGAGTGATTGCTACTGAATGATTTTACTTCCCCCGATCCCTCCTCCTCTCCTCCCCACCTCTGTGCCCCAGCTCCTGTTTTCAGCTCTGCTGGGAGGCTGCTGATCTCTGCAAATGTTCTCTGTTGCCTTTGTTACTGAAGACAGGGAAACAGTGTGTTAGGTATCACGGGTTTTCTGTCAAAAGCCCAAAGCATCGGGCCGACGCTGAACGTAAATGTTCCGAGTTTTGTAATACAGCTTTATTTCCCCAGTGACACCAATTGGTGGAAAGGTGAAAATCATAGAGGAGTAGGACTGTTTCCATCGAACTTTGTGACTTCTGACTTGAATGTGGAACCTGAGGCGGGTAAGTCAGCTCCTGGTTATTTCAGAAAGGTGGACTTAACGGCAGAACTACTAACTAGCCCATCAACAAAATAATTTCCTGAAATGAGCCCAAGGAAAGCATTGAGAGAGAAATCCTGCCCTTGTTTCAAACAAGCAAGCAAGCATGTACTGCTGCTGTAGCTCACTTGAACAATTTCTATCTTCTGATTCTTTCCTAAGTTGTTACCTTTTTCCTGTTACAGAAATTCAGCTCAATTTACGGTAATTCTTTGTCAGTAACCTGTTACATCTGAATTTGGTAACTTGCTGTTTAGAATGTCCAAGTCTCTTTTCAGACATCAGACCTGGTATGGAATGACACTCATCACCGTGTCAGTGGTTTGTGAGAATCACATTGTTAGCTTTATTCATGTTCATGATACCAAAATAAATCCTAACCATTACGACCTGGCTGAAAGTAACTGTACAGGTGTTTTTAGATGCTAATATGACTCAAGAGTCTTTCCCCTGCTGGGTCTGGGTTCATAATCAAGCTAACAGCCCAAAGGGAGCAGCTTGTCAGAATGTTTTCTAGGCAAACCTGTTCTCCCTTCTCCAGCAGCTAGGTGCATCGCTGCTTAACGTACTTATTCACGTTTCTCTCTTATTTAAAGAACTGATGGCAGGCAAGGAGAAAATGCGTATTTTAAGTTAGCATAATAACACAGCTGCAGAAAAGAAACTAATGTTTGTTCTTTCAGGAACTGTGGATAAAAATTCTGTTCCTGAGGATACTACAGAAGAAATTAAGAAAGCAGAGCCTGAGCCAGTTTATATAGATGAGGTATGCAATCACTTTCAGTATAAAAAATTGCTGAGATTTTTACATTGGTTGAAACGTTTTGTTACTGAATGCTAGCAGATAATTCTTTTTACATAAAGAACTTTTCTTTTATTTGAAAATTAAAACTCTCTGCCATGCTTCAGAAATAACTGTTTGTAATCTTCTCTTCACCTTTCAGGATAAGATGGATAAAACACTGCAGGTACTTCAGAGCATAGATCCTACAGATTTAAAGCTTGATTCTCCAGACCTTCTAGACTCAGAAGGTACTTTGAGCACTAAGTCACTAGTTTTTTAATTTCTTCTCACAATTACCTTCTGTGGGTTGAGCTGGTGGTTCTTTTGTGTTTATTTTAAGCTTAGAGAAACTATGGTCTGTACTAATAGTATGCCGTAGAATAGCTTATTTCACAGTGGGAGCAACGGGGCTATATGTATAACTCTAAATTTTCTACTAGTTGCCAAGCCAACTCCATGTTTAGCAGAGTAATTTGCACAACTTCCAGCTAGTGTACAATGCCTGATCTTTGCAAGATCCATCCACCTATCGAAACTCTGCTTGAAGTAAGCAGTTAATTTTGTGTCAAACTCTCCAAAATACTGCTGGCTAGGAGGGGAGAGGAAGTTCAGTTGTCTTAAGAGCCGATTAGTTCAAGGTGTGTAGTAACGATTGCACCTACGTTAAAAAAGGAGTGTTCCTATGACGGAAAAAGTGAAGGGAAAGGGAGCTCTGCAGTACAGCAGCTCTAGATGGATTCATAGGCAGTCGAGATTCGATATTCCGGCAGGAGATGAAAGTCATACATCTTGCACAGTGCAAGCAGAAATGCAAAATTTTCCCTGCATTTCATCAGTAGTTTGTTGTTGGAGAGAGTATTTTTTTTGAAAGAGGAGAGAGGATGACAGAGCAGAGTAACTGCAGTATTTCTCCTGTCTCTTCGGCTGGAGGAATGGGACACACATGATAACCAGGTGCACTCTCCAATTCTGTATGCTATTTTAGTATACTTGGATAAAATATTTTTTTGGCTGCATTTAAATTTTTAATTGTGCAAGGCACTAACTACCTCAACACTTTTGTCTTCACAGATATTTGTCAGCAGATGGGTCCAATGATAGATGAAAAACTGGAAGAGATAGATAGGTGAGCCATAATGTAGCTTCTCTGTTATTTACTACGATTTACTTTAAATTGTGAAGTTGTATTATTTTTTTTTTGGTACTTTCATCTCCCAAGCTAGAAAATCCAGCAAGACAGACATTTTAACAGTTTTACCTTTATTTTTTTAACACTTAGATACCAAGGTCCCAGTGCATACGCTAAGATTTGGTTGCTGCTCTCCAAAATTTACTGCATAAGTTACTGGGTGCATTTTCTATTGGCACTTTTTTGACTGTAGCCTTTTGCAATCTGCCTAGAGCTTGGTATTTTCAGTCTGCTGCTGACTGTCCTCCGTGACAGGAAAATCTGTTCAATGCTGTCTTCACCTCTGCCCCCTCAGACTCCTTGGGGATGTTTGAGGGTGAAAAGAAAAGGTAACTAACACCTGTGGAATTAGTTGCTTGCCTTATTGCAGATAGGGAAGAACAGTTGTTCACCACTTGGACTCTCCTTCCAGTCCCTCTGGTTTAAGAAACAAAATGGTGTAAGAAGCAGAATGGTAATTTTACAACATAAATGTGTAAGAAATTACCTCTCTACCTTTTAAGGGTGTTTTTTTCTTGCGTATTCAAAACTGTGCAATGAACCACTCTTACCATCTAACACTAGATGTTAGAGAAACTTACTATTTGCATGTATTTGTTTTGAAACAGAAAACATTCGGAGTTATCTGAGTTGAATATGAAGGTTCTAGAAGCTCTGGAGCTCTATAACAAACTGATGAATGAAACGCCGATGTACTCGGCCTACTCAAAACCCCACCATCCTGCACAATACCCGCCTACATCTTCTGGTGTTTCAGTGCAGGTCAGTATCCTTTTTCTGGAAATGGAGACTTTCCTAATATAGATTTCTATTTAAAAAGATGACAGCAAAAACGAAGTGTACGCTTGCTTGCTAGCCTACGAACAATCTGACATTGCCTGGTGACTTTTTTATAGCCTTTAGAATAAAAATAATTGTTTATACACTAGAACAGATTTGCAGTTCAGTTTGCAGTTACCTGCTTGTGCAATAAGGTATAGCTGTTAATTTTGCTCTACTTAACAGAAAGATACTGTATAGAAAATACTAAAAGATGATTGAATCACAGAATGGTTTGGGTTGGAAGGGACCTCAAAGACCATCCAGTTCCACCCCCCCTGCCATGGGCAGGGACACCCTCCCCTACACCAGGTTGCACAAAGCCCCATCCAACTGGCCTGGAACACTTCCAGGGATGGGGATTCTTTCCATGATTAATTTTTTACGGTTAGAATTGTGTGTTTCAGCAGCTTGGTGGATATTCTTGCTGTGAGTCATGTCCTCGGTCTGAAAGTGAAATGTTACCTTCTTATCTAGTAGTGGGGATGTGAGTGAACTTGAATATCAGTGCATTAATCATGAGAGCAGTGTGCTTTTTCTAAATATAGAAACACTGGTCTGGTTTTAGCTCTTTTTTTTCCCCGTAAGAAAGGAACATGGTGTATTAGGGGTGTAGTTGCTCAAAACTATTTTACAGTATCTCTAATGTGCCATATTGAGGTTTTAAGAAAACAGAAATGGAGGAGAAAGATTTTTTTTTTTTTTTTTTTTTTAAAGATTCTTTTTGGAGAAAGCGTAGAATGAGTGTTTTTACTTTAATGTTAATTGTTCAGTGGGAAAAGAATAGTTACCATAGCAACTGCTAGATCTGAAAATATGTCAGTTAAAAGTAATTCCGTGTCCTTAACTGCTGGTAATGATGGAAAATTCATTATATTTGGAGGTTAAAAAGTAATTTAAGGGCAACTGGAGTTTACTGTTTCTTCCAAGATGCATGCCTCCAGTGGTGAAAAATACAGGATAATGCTAACCATACTTAGCTTAGTGTAGTTACGTGGTACAAAACTGTCCGTTCCTTCCGTGTCCAGTATGATCCAAAGTCCAAAACCAATGAGCAGCATAGACTTATGTAGACTAAGCATGTTATAGCACCTGTTCTATCTGAATTTTGAGTAAAGGCTTGCACCATCTTAAACTAGAAATGCAAGAAATTAAAGGTTTTGGTTTCCTTTTATGTTCTAGTCTTAGAATATTCTTGTGTTTTCATTTCCAAAATGCGTTAAATAACAAATCTCGTATGGTACCCATCTTCCTACTCAACTCTGTGCATAAAAACATGTAAGGGTTGAACATCTTAAAGACAAGGCAAATTGGAGAGAAAGAAATAAGGTTTCTGGGAGGGGCAGAGGTCTTGTACACAATACAAAAGGTTCTTTTGGATATTAATCACTGTCCTTGTTAGCAGTGCCTTTCTGATGACATAAAGGCTGTCTATTTAAAACATGTGATGAGAAGTTCCATGTTTTGGTTTTAGAGCCTTGTTGGAAAAATGAATCAACGTTCATTCAGCCTTTGAACCCTCACATCTTTGTTCATCGTAGAATCACAGAACAGTTTGGGTTGGAAGGGGCCTCAAAGATCATCTAGTTCCAACCCCCCTGCCATGGTCAGGGACGCCCTCCACTACACCAGGTTGCCCAAAGCCCCATCCAGCCTGGCCTTGAACACTGCCAGGGGTGGGGCAGCCACAGCTTCTCTGGGCAACCTGTTCCAGTGCCTCACCATTGTAGTGGTATTCTGTGCCAGCTTTGCTGCTGCTTAATTGAAAATAAAAGATACACAATGTTTTTATTTACAGTCGTATCCTGTACAGCCACCTAGTGGAAACTACATGATCCAGGGTGTCCACCAAGTCACCATTTCCCCGGGGTACAGCCTAGGACCTGATCAGATGGGGCCGTTGAGGTCACTGCCTCAAAGTATAAATTCTTCTGGAGCAACTCAGCCAGCTCAAGCTGCGTATTTAAGGTATTTCTTCTGCAAACTGTCAAATCACCTTCTTCCTGGTGGTAATGTCACTGCTTTGTCTAGAGGGTGTGTGTTTTCGGGATGTTTATTTACTATGATACATAATACTGTTTGATTGTTTTGAAAATACACGGATAGCTTTTGCATTAAGCAACACTTATTTGCACGTGTGCTTATCAGATGAATAGACACAAACTTGTCAGAATTAGATTTCTTACAGAATCACAGAATGGTTTGGGTTGGAAGGGACCTCAAAGACCATCTAGTTCCAACCCGCCTGCCATGAACAGGGACACCCTCTACTACACCAGGTTGCTCAAAGCCTCATCCAACCTGGTCTTGAACACTTCCAGGGATGGGGCAGCCACAGCTTCTCTGGGCAACCTGTGCCAGTGCCTCACCACCCTCAGAGGGAAGAATTTCTTCCTTATATCTAATCGAAATCTCCCCTCTTTCAGTTTAAATCCATTGCCCCTTGTCCTGTCACTACACACCCTTGTGAAAAGCCCCTCTCCAGCTTTCCTGTAGGCCCCCTTTAGGCACTGGAAGGCTGCCATAAGATCACCCTGGAGCCTTCTCTTCTCCAGGCTGAACATTTTGTTTTGTTACAGCCCAGGACCGGATTCCGTGTTAAACCAGACGTACGTGAACCAGAGCCCTGGCCTTCCGCCGGCTGCCAGCACCGCTGCCTACACCCCGCAGCAGATGGGAATGTCAGTGGATATGTCGGCTTACCAGAACAACACAGCGAGTTTGCCTCAAGGACCAGGTTATCCCGTGGCACTTCCTGCTCATTCCGTTCTACAGCAGCAAACAAATTACCGTCAACAGCCTCTCCTTTAAAAACCAGCCAGCCCATGTTGCTGGATTAATGCAGAAAGGTTGCCTGACCTAACGAATAAAGGTTGCCTGACCTAACGATTTTTATGAATACCTGTCACAGATATCAAAATACATTTTCCTTTGAAATAACCCAACTTACTGCCCTAGGGTGATGCAGAGTGAAAATAAGCATCAGATCTGCTTGTTAAGCATTTGCCTAAAGATGGCTTGAACTAGACTAGCTGATGGTTCAGAATAATTCCAGATTACTTTGAGCCCTTATTGCAGTGCTTTCAGGAAACGCCGCTGCATTTAAAAGATTGTCCGAAAATAGTTTTCTTTTAAATGTGTTTCTGAAAACTTGAGGATGCTTAATCATTGTTCTGTGTTGCTCTCATTATGCATTGCCTCCTCTGGTACCTTACTGCAATCCTTCCACCCGAGTGGCTCTGCTAATTTAGACACCCCTTCTCTCCGTGCTGCTGTAGTGAGCTTTGCGCTGCGTAATTGGAACAACTGCACCAGTTCAGCAGAGGAGAACTGGAAGAGAAAATGATTTGATATTGTGACAGTGAGGACCATGTGCCTACAGAAATAGGAGAAACGAAATTTTTACAGTGCTGCCTGTTAGAGTTTTTGGAAACCACGGAGAACTTGTGATGTGTTTCTCTTGAAAACAGGTGGGGTTTTGCTAGAACTCACTCGTGTCTTTTGGCAGGGGTGGTGCCGCGAGCACAAATCTCCTTCAGGAGAGCAGGCAAGGGACGCGCCCGGCTGCCGGTGTGGGCACTCTGTGGGTACAAGGTGCTGAGCCAGAATCTTGTACGGAATCTCTTTTCCTTTTCGGATGTATTTAGAAGTGAAGGAGTATTGTGGTTGCTCGTGGTAAAGGCTCAAGAATGTTTGATGCTTCTTAAGACTGTGATAATCTGCCTCGTTCCCTTTCTGATGGGGAGCAGAGTGGAACAGGAATCGTCTTTATGGGACCAGGGGTTTCTTGCCTCTCTTGGATTTCCTTTCTCTGCCACCATTTGTGTCTCCAAATCAATGCCAGTTACAGTCAGAGAGGCTCTTAAACCATTTGGGAAAAGATGTGTGTTAGTGCACTGTCTATATAGGCAGAATGCACGTGCTTTGGGAGTGGGATTGGGCTCCTCTTTTGATATTGAAATGATATTTGCGTATGGAAAATGACAGACGTGTCTTCAGAAAAGGAATTGCCGTGGAGCTGTGGAAGCGTAGCATTTGGTGGCTAAGAAAAGAAATCTAAGAATTTTTTCCCTGATGCACTTTTTAAATGGGTGGGGTTTGTACAAGAGGAGCAGATGAGCTGAATTATGTTTCAGGAATGTGGGATTTCTTTCTTTTATTGTTTCAACCTCTGAAAAAAAAAAATCACTATTTACCTACTCACTTTAGCATAGTCATATTTATACCTATTTTTACAATTTTACGATGAGTAATAATCTTTAAATTGGGAAAATAATGGAAGCAAATCACTGATTAAAACCATCTTGATTAAATGCATGGAAGTCCCAAATGTCTAAATAAGTATGTTTGGTGTATAAACTTTCTCCCAAATGAGAACTGTCGGATTGTAGACTGTTGAGTAATAAAAACCACCCTTCGCTCAGTGCCACCTCCATTTCTTTTACATCTCATTTAATTATTTGGCATCGCAACCTTGCTCATTTGCAGCCTCATGCTTATGCAATGAGGCATTCAGTACCTGCTCTTTAAATCAGTTTTTTGATTTAAATGTGTGCAATTGGAAGGAAGCTTTTGTCTTTCCTGTTGACATGACTTCAATTTGTCCTTATCCCTTTCCTGGAAGTAGTTTAGTTTAAATAACACGTGTTGCAATTCTGAAGTTTTTGGATAACTTGTTCCTTGTGTTCTTTAAGAAGAATAATTAATTTCAGTGCTGCTGTTCAAAATTCTTATTGTTTGGAGATTTTTTTACAAGAGTTTGCTTTGTTCCTAGTTGGTATGTAGTCAAACTAAACCTTGCTCTCATTTATTCTCCCATGTTTGTTAGTAAATTGAGATTAAGGCAGGTATTTTTATTAGGTTCAAAACTTTGGTCCAGCAGAAATCTTGAGTATCTTAAATTGAGATGGCTAGACAGGTGTGATTTGATTATGTTCAGTTAATTATTAAATATAAATAATGTATATACTCATTTGTCTGGGATTTTCTACACAGCTACATATACGCGTCCTGTTAAAGCCTGAAATTTTATAAAAGCGGGATTTGTCGTTCTGTCGTCACTTATATTTCTAATTCTGTGATATGCAACTTGTAGATAGTGTAAAATAATTTAATTGTTATTAAAATAGTGTATTTAGAGGGTTTTGGTGTTAAATAGGGTCTGGGTTTTCTCTTCATACTTCTCTACATGATCATATTTATTTTTAAGGCCTGATTGTAACTGAACATGCTGCCAAAGGATTTATCTAACTTCAGATTTCTACGTTAGGTTTCTACCTACTGTTTTATATCAGGAATCACCGGTAGATAACTTCTGCTTTTTCATAGAAACTCTTACTGGTTAACATAGGGGTTTGTGCAACTTTCTAAGGAGAATTTTATCATAATATGTTTGTTTCATGGGTGTTGAAAATACCAATGCTAGATACATTTTCTTCTCGTGTGAGTTGGCAACCTGTTATGTCTAAGTTATAGTCAGCTGAACAGTTGGATTTGTCTGGAAGATCACCGTGGAGAGACGTGCTTTGAGAAACCGTGGTCTTTCATTCAGCCCTGATGTGTTTAATTTGGCACAGAAATGGCAGTGTTAAAAAGTCAGATTGTTTCTGTAGCAAGTAAACCTTAAAAATAATGTTCTGTGTTTGTTTTGCGTTCCGTTTCGTTCGTAGGTGTTCATGGACTTGTGGAACAGTGTGACTCTTTTGAGGGCTGTCCCTTGGAAAGGAGAGCCCAGTGGGACGCGGCTGCAATCTCTTACAGGAATTATTTTCTGATAGGAAGATTTTTCTTTCCTTAGTTTTATCTATGCATCTTTGAAGAAATAATAGGCACTGCTCTTGCTTACGTTGAACACCGTGATGTGGCCGTTGAATGGATGAATAACTTTTTAGAATTTGTGGCTCTTACCAGTTAAATTTTACGTGAAGCTGACTCAAACTGTTTTGAATGGGTGAAAATGAAAAGTGAAGGAAAGGAAATAGAGCTGGGGCAGGTTCTGAGCACGTCTGAGCTTTCCCAGCTCTGCTGCCTTCACAGGCACCGTCGCATCTTCTGGTCGGCCAGCGAGTGACCTGGCCACCGACAGATGGCACGCCTGGACTCGGAATTGAGACCAAGGTCCTGCTTCTGTTTGACACGTCTGAGTTTGAGGTGGATGTGTGCCAGTCAATCGATGTACCGCAGTTCTTACAGAAAATTATCTTAAAGAGTTTGCAGCGTTGAGAAGAGGGGATCTGTTCTATCACAATATCCTTTTGGCCTCCTGTCTGCAATACGTGTGCGTTGCCTCGTGTGAATAAAACAAAGTTTGTGTAACAAACACGCCTGAAGAGTCTTCTGTTTACGGCGTGGTTACGTCCTTGCCAGGAGGATAAGGCAAAAGCTACATGGGCCGGTGTTTGAGGCGTGTAGTGTGACCGTCGGGGCTGGGTCCCCTCCGCTCCCCTGGGGGCACCTGCCCTGGGCGAGCGCCCGCAGGCTCAGCCATCAGCCTGGCCACCTCCAGGCGAGCTTTCCTAATTGGAAACCAGCGCTCTTATCGCCTGAAGCATCCGTAAGCTGGGCTGAGGTGAGCGGGAGAATGCTCCTGTGTGTTGAGTGGTAACTGGTGTGGAACTGGAGAGAGCAGGTTCTGTAAAATGATGAAACATTTCGCCACAATGACAAGGTGTTTATACAGAAAGCAAATACTCTGTTCTTTCAGTTTGATTGTGTTGCACGTCTTACTTAAGAGCCATGGTTGCTTATGGCTTGATAGAGGTTTTCCCCAGAGACGCCAAACAAATTATCCAGGAAGATTTCTGGCTTGTCCAAAAGAAGAATAAATCCTTGTGCTTTAAAGATGCTTTCTGCTAATGCTGTGACTGGGCACCAAAAAAATGTGTGCAAGCAGCCCAGTGTACCTGAGAACAACTCAGGTGGCTAAATGACGACTGGTTTCACCATTTATCTCTGAATAACGACTGGTTTCACCATTTATCTCTGGATAACGACTGAGTCTTAACGGACAGTGTCTTAACTTGGGAAGTCAGCCACGTGCTCCGTCGCACCAAGATTAATGTTTAAAGAAAAGTACCCTTCCTAGTACCAATTTAATGATTAAAAATAATCTAATTTAGACTACAGCATTCGTGACCCACATTCGTCTTTGACAAAGAAACCAGGCTGCCTAATTTCATCCCAGGAATTAAAAAAATAAAAAAAGCAGAAAGCTGTGGTCTGTGGCGAGAAAGCAACGTTTGTGTGTTGGACCTTCACCAGAGGTGTTGGGGGCAGGGGGGTGTTCAGAGCTTTCTGGTGTAAAAGTGAGATCAGTTGTACACGTTTCTCTGCTTACTCATGGCAGTGGGAGGTGTAATGTGCCTGTGGTTAAAGCACAGGAGTGGGAAGCAGGAAATCCAGGTCCTGCTTCCCATTCTTCCCCAGATTTCCTCTTCAACTTCAATCAAATCACTTGATTAACCTGTTTTCCCTCTGTACCATGGAGGTCACAGCTCTCATCATGACCAGTGGTTGATGTAAATTAATACTGATCAATACTGGGAAGCGTTGGGCAGCGCTGTGGTTTATGGGGTTGTAAACGTGGTGTAGTGGAAGGTGTCCCTGCCCAGGGCAGGGGGGTTGGAATGGGATGGTCGTCGAGGTCCCTTCCAGCCCGAACCACTCTGTGATTCTGACTGGGGCCGAGTTTCAGCCGGGGAGGTTGTGCGGGGCTGGGGCCGGTCCCTGCCCGCAGCATCCCGCGTGGCACGCAGAGAGCCGGGGCGGGGGGCACCAGCGCAGAAACGGGTTGCGGTGGCCATGACCGGTGG